GTGGGGGGGGGCCAGGAGGGACCGGGTGATGTGGGCGAGGGGCAGGGGAGGGCAGCCCGCAGACGGCTTGCCTCAGGAGCCAGGTACTCAGGCGTCCCGCAGAAGGTCTTCATGGTGGCACCGTCCTTGATGCCCTCTTTGCACAACCCGAAGTCGGTGATCTTGATGTGCCCATCCTTGTCCAGCATGAGGTTCTCCAGCTGCACGGGGCCTCCGTCAGTGCGACTCTGCCCTGCTCCCGGAGGCTCCGCCCGCCGCCCCGCTGTCCCCGCCCCCTGTCCCGGCCAGCGCGCACCTTGAGGTCCCGGTACACCACGTTCTTCTCCGAGTGCAGGTAGTCCAGGGCCGACACGATCTCGGCGCCATAGAAGCGGGCCCGGTCCTCCGAGAACACGCGCTCGCGGGACAGGTGGAAGAAGAGCTGCGTGCAGGAGGGAGCTTGAGGAACCGACCCAGGGAAGCCTGGGTGCCCCAACTTCGTGGGAACAGTCCCCCACAAACAGACCCGCTGTGACTCCTGAGGAGACCCTGCGCACCACCCTGGCCCCGGGCTCACCTCGCCGCCGTTGGCGTACTCCATGACGAAGCAGAGGCGGTCGTGGGTCTGGAAGGAGTACTTCAGGGCCTGAAACAGATGGACGGCTAGAGCGGCCCCGCCGGGCAGGAGCCACAGCCACACGCCACGTGGCGGTGAGGCCCGCGGAAGCGATCGGCATGGAACGGGCTCCATGCTCAGGGAAATGGGTATCGCAAAGTTGACTGTCAGATCTGGGCACCGAAATCAGTAAGAAGTCAGCAAGGACTAAGCACCAGCTCCCTGAGCTTCCCAAGTAGCCTTCCTACCGGGACCACAGGTGTTTGCTGGAAGGGACCCCACTCCCCCCCACAGTTCCTAGTTTGCCCAAAACACTACCCTGGGACTAACAGTGTGTCTGGAACTCAGAACTGTGCACGGTAAACCCCTTCCGGGCCGAGCCATTCCCAAGACAGGGCCCCCCTGGACACACACCCTCCTGGGTAGAGCCCAGAACAGAACAGGGCCCAGCCCGCCTCCCCAGGGTGCTACCTGGGACAGCCAGGGCAGCATGTGAGAACTGAGTGCCCAGAGCCTCAGCCGTGTGGAAACACCAGTCTTCGGCACGCTGGGCCGGCGCACACGGCCCCCGGGCCTCGTCAGACCCAGCTGGCCTTCCCTCAGCCTCGCTGAAGTCCTCAGGGTGTTCACATGTGCCCAGAAGCCAGGACACCATGCTCCAGGGGCAGCCCTGTGCACACACCCACCCCTCCCGCCTCGGCCGCGGACCCCACTCACTGTGAGGAAGGGGTGCCGAGAGTTCTGCAGGACGCGGTTCTCAGTCAGTGTGTGCGCCACCTCATCCTAGAGAGCATGGCCAGTGAGCGCGTGCTGCGTGGCCCTGCCCTGCCCCGCCCC